TAACATATAATGTATTATTTGCTCCAGGGGTACAGGTCTGTGAATCGTCAGGCTTACACACTTCACACCACTCACCTTATCACATACCCTCCCCAGTATCTATAACCCAACCACCTTCTCCCTACCCCCCTCCTTCCAGTAACCCTCAGTTTGTTTTGTGATATTAAGAGGCTCTTATGGTTTGTCTCCCTCCCAATCCCATCTTGTTTCATTTCTGCCTTCTGTACCCCCAGGTCCCCCACATTGCCTCTCAAATTCCTCATATCAGGGAAATCATATGATAATTGTCTTTCTCTGATTGACTTATTTTGCTTAACATAATACCCTCTAGTTCCATCCACGTCGTTGCAAATGGCAAGATTTCATTTCTTTTGATGGCTGCATAGTATTCCATTATATATATATATATATATATATATATATATATATATATATATACATATATATGTGTGTATATATATATATCACATCTTCTTTATCCATTCATGTTGATAAGACATCTAGGCTCTTTCCATAGTTTGGCTATTGTGGACATTGCTTAAAACCAAAATTTTAACTTATGTTTTTCTTCACTTCATAAAACTCATCCTTTTCATGTTATCTTAAGTGTTCACCTTACTATTTCCCTGCTCTTTGCCCCCCCATTCCTTTTTTTCTCCCTCATTCCCCTCTCTTTCTGTATCTAATACATCATTTGCCTATAGCCCCCCCCAACACACATTTTTTTAAAAAAGGAAATCCAGGTCTAATTTTCTCAGTCATAGATGTAGTTCTTTGATCTACCTACCTCTTTTGATTTTCAACCACTGAGAATCATTTTGCCAAAATGGCAGAATTTCCTCATTTATAGTTCCTTTGTGAGTTTGAAAGTATTTTTAAAAAGTCACATAGTCCCCAAAGTACCCTCCCTCTGTCCCCATAATAAAAACTGGCTATGCTAGTAGTACACTGTGAGAAAATGTAAAAGGAATCCAGTTACAGTAATAACCAAAACTAAGTATTGGATGTTATTTTAATTATACAAACTCTAAAACCTGACTGATACTGAGGACTTGTTTTTATAACATAGATAAGGCATTGAACTTTTATGTCACTGGACCTGGGCCATGTGAATGTTTTCCCACAAAGCAAGCTAGAACTGTTTCGATACCACTCATGGTTAAGAATCAAACATGTTTCTCATAGGCAGAATGTAACCAATCTTTTGGAGTGAGTACAAATTATTTGGACATGGTGGAGGTGGATCTTGCCACCAAATGGTATGATTACAGAGTCACTGTCAAATTCTTACAGATTTTATTTGTTTTTATTTTGTTTTCTTGGTGAAAAATCAATTTGTGACTTTTTGCACTGTAACAAAACAAAAAGAACTATGACCAATTAACACACCAGTCTTTGTGTACCTTTGGAAACAGACTACGTTCCTAAACATTACAAATATATTTCTCCTCTGGGAAGTTGTGGGAAGTGGGTGTTACTCCACGCATTTCTTTCACCTACTACATTGACCTTCATACCAATAAGAAAATGTGAAAGAACTTCTAATTGTTGCTCATTGTGTTTACTTGTCTAACTTAATACTCAAGTCTTTGAGAGCAAGGGCTTGTTGCTTTCATCTCTATTTCAAAACACTAAGCTTGTAGAGTCAGACCAGTCAACAGTCAATGTGTGCCCAAAACATTTTATGAAATGAGTAAATACAGAAACTTCAGTAGGAGAACCGCTCACACAGCTCATTGAAGTTCAGGTTCATTTCGCAAGTTGGCATTTAATGCCTCTTTTTTTTTTTTTTTTTTAAAGATTTTATTTATTTATTTGACAGAGAGAAATCACAAGTAGGCAGAGAGGCAGGCAGAGAGAGAGGAGGAAGCAGGCTCCCTGCTGAGCAGAAAGCCCGACGTGGGGCTCGAACCCAGGACCTGGGATCATGACCTGAGCCGAAGGCAGCGGCTTAACCCACTGAGCCACCCAGGTGCCCCTAATGCCTCTTTTATTCTTTACTCTTAGTGGTTCTCTCTCTCTCTTTTAAATTCCAGTTAGCTAACATACAGTGTTATATTAGTTTCAGGTATATAATACTCTTAGTAGTTCTTAAAAAGCATTTTTACTTTCCTTATAGTCTTAACATGATCATTTTCCTTATCATGTCCCACTACTTCAGTATTCTTAGCTTTTTTGACATGATACTAACATTTAACCAACCTCTCCTAATACTCTTAAAATTGTGTGTTCTCACTTCTATGCCTCAGTGGGGTTTGACTTACATTTTCTGATACAGTGTATTTAGGTCCACATACTACTCATGATGAAGTGAGAAGAAGTGTTTTCTCAGAAAAGCTAAAAGAACTATTTCCTGAGCTAGTGGTTTTAACTGGAGGTGAGAGATTTAAAACTTCTCCTCCTTATGGTCTTGGTAAAATAACTGTTTAGAAAAGTTGCATGTATAAATAATATTCTAGCAAATCATACACTGTTTAAGGGAGGAGAAGTATGGAGAGGGAGAGGCAGAGAAAAAGAAAGTGCTCTAACTAGACATTCATCTACATGTCTAGACATTCATTCCACATTTAAATATTTAGAGTTTTTAGTAGCCTGTGAATACAAGAAAATTTATTACATTAAGGTAGGCTGTAGATATTTGACATGTAGCTGATATTTTCATAGTGTGAGAAATATCAAGCTGACATTATGCTTTCTCTGTGATGATTACTTCCAAATGTCAGAGAGTAGAAACTTATTCATGGGATTTCAGGGCCTTAGGATAGTGTCAATTTAAAAGACATTCACATCGACTTCTTTTTTTATTTAAACATGCTAAATGGAAGATGAAAAGCAGGTTAAGAAATCAACAGAGAAAGGAAGAGCAAAGAAGAGACCTATTGACAAGAAAAATTTAAATAGATTGATGTACTCTTACATCAATTTCATGAAACCTTAGCTGACAGCAGGCTTTGTGATTGCCTCCTAATATTTCTGACAGCTGGAGCCTTGCTGTTCATATTATTTCACTCCTATCACTTATGTTGAATTTGGGAAATTAAAAATAAGATATGAACTATTTGACTTTTTGTAGACTATCTTTAATAAATAAGGCTAATAACTAAAATTTGTATTTTAATACTGGCATTGGACTTCAAACTAAAATAAAATAACTTAGTGATATTTTAAATTAAAAATGTATTCTTTTGTTCACCAAACTCCTTAGAAGTTAATTATGAACCTACTGAATTGCTATTTTAGAAGTAACTCAAAGAAATTTTAAAAATTATTATTAAACAAATTGGCCACATCAGAGATAATTATGAGTTTAAATAAGCCTTTGTCTTTCCCAATTATGTGCACAGCAATGCTCCTAATTACTTGGGGTCACTGAAATCCCATGGCATCCTGTGAAAAGCATTTCTCCTGCAGTCTATCTGGTTAGATTTCCTTTCTTTTTGGGGGGAAGTCAGCATCTTCTCCTTTTTATTTTTATTTTTTTTTTTAAGATTTTATTTATTTATTTGACAGAGAGAGATCATAAGTAGACAGAGAGGCAGGCAGAGACAGAGAGAGAGAGGGAAGCAGGCTCCCTGTCAAGCAGAGAGCCCGATGTGGGGCTCGATCCCAGGACCCTGAGATCATGACCTGAGCTGAAGGCAGCGGCTTAACCCACTGAGCCACCCAGGCACCCCATCTTCTCCTTTTTAAAAACCCCTTTTTAGCAACAGTGGGAACGATGTTGAGGATGGTAACATGATTTTTGTTGTGACTTGTGTATGTCAATGACAGGAGTCACCGTGTAGCCATCTAACTTCTCTAATTCATCTTACAAATTTATTTCTGATACAAAGAAAAAATTGTGGAACCTCAGTGAGCTAGACAAGCTACTTCCTGGAGCTGCAGAATTTGAAATTGTTACTTAGAAAAACAAAAGGACAAGCCAAACATGCTGGCTGATAGAACTATCTCAGAGGATCATCGTAATCTTGTTCACTAAATCAAAGCTGGAACAGAATGGATTGATAATTCTCTTATCCTATTGGTGTTACTCAAATTCTTAAACTGAAGTGCTGAATTCAAGGACGATCATTCCATTATTAAAGCTTTAAGTGCCCCACTGTTTTATATGCATCGAGTATCATAAAATGAGTAATACTGAAAAACTAGAGTTTGCTATGCTTCCACACTTGATGTACCCCTCCCGAGGCCAAGGAGTCTGGGCTGTCCCCAGTGAAGGCAGGAGACAACTGGGAAAGGTTAAGACGTTGCCAGCACCCTGGCGCATAACGACCCACAAAGTCCAGAGCCACCCCAGTGACATCCTTAGAATGACAGGAGCTGCAGGCCCTCTGCTTTTGCAGGGTTAAGAGAAACAGGTCTCAGGAATCCGACTCTGGTTCATAGTCCAGGTGCCAGGTCCAGCTCAGCATCTGGGCTCCTTATTGCCCCCCGGCCTTTTCCGGGTGTCTCACACTGCCAGAGTCACCAACAGCTTCATCCGGACAGAGTGTTTCCTGCTGACTGCAAGGTCCTCAACACCCAGCCCCATTTTGGGCCGGACCAGGGCTCACCTCCTCACTGATCACTTTCCTGCTTGTTTTTGTCTTCCTAAGCTTCGAGTTCCTTTCTTCCACTCCGCCCTCCATCCCGAGCCCAGGGCCAAGTCTGGGCGGGAATGGTGAGCGTTCAAAGTCTGGGCTAAAGTTAGGGGATTTCGGGCTTTGCTGGGAGGCCTCCTTCCTCTGTCAGAAAGCAGCGGGGGCGCTGTACGGTCGCCTCTGGCTTCCGAGAAAAGTCTCCCGGGAAAAGTCCCCCGCAAAGAGACCTAGCCTCGCGCCGGGACTCTGCAAGAAGGAGCTTCGACCGCGGACTCCTAGGCCAGCGTCCTCGCCCCGCGCGCTGAGCCGGGGGGGACACAGGGCGCCCCCCAGTGGCCGCCGGGCCGCGCCGCTCCGGGCCGGTGAGGGGGTGGCAGCGGAAGTGGAGGGGCGGCGGCGGCGGCGGCGGCGGCTGGGCGGCCATGGCAGATGCCGCACGGGAGGAGCTCTCGGCCCTAGCCGCGATTTTCTGCGGGCCGGACGAGTGGGAAGTGCTGAGTCGCTCAGGTGACTACCCCGGCGAGGGAGGGGCCGGGCGTCCTTCTTCCCCGCCACCGGGACGGGGCTGCCTGCCCCAGGGCCCACCCTCGGGGACCCGGCTAGTGGAAGGATGGAACGCCACGCACCGGGACTGGAGATGTGTGGGAGCAGCCGGGAGAGTGAGGCGACCCCCTCCAACGTGGACTGTTGTCGGCGTGCACTCCGCCCCACAGGGGACTGAGACCGCAGCGCCCAGGCCGGTGCGGCCCGCCGGCCGGCCCCCGCCCCACCGCCACCGGCCGAGCGCCGGGCCCTGCGCGTCCGCAGAGCCCTGGCCCCGGAACGCACTCCGCCCGGCTTCCCGGGCCGCCCGTGTTGACTTCAGGTCTCACCTTGAAAAGAGGCCTGTCCTGACACCCCCAATTTAAACCCAGCTGCCCCAGATTACATTGTGTCCTTCCTAAGCTCTGTGCATTATTCCTTCAGGGGCACCCACCACAGTTTTAACTCTCTTAAGGGCATTGAGGGTGCCGAGCAGCAGGTGGGCGGGGACCCTGTCTGTTACGTAATCACAAAACTCCATGCTCCTAGGACAGTGCCAGGCATATGGTGGTTAGTAAATGTTTGTTGAATGAATGTTTGAATTGGCCCTGTGCTCTATCCGAACCTTTTCTCAGTTATGTTTCCTAGTCGATTGCTCTTCTTTTGCGTTTTTCTGGCCCGCCGAAAGGTGGCTGTCAGAGGCTTTGGGCGTGTTGATCTTTCAGCCCGCATGTACCGATGCCCTGTAAACACAAGGTTTCAGAGACACAGCCCTTGTCCTCTGGAAGCTTACAGTCCAGAAGGGTTCTTTTGGCTATTTTTTGATGATAGTTAAAATTTATTCTGTCCCTGTCTGTGACTTCTATTAATTAAGTAAAAACCAAAACTGCAGATTTTGAAAAAAGTGCAGTGATGCAGATAATTTTCAATTTTCACTTAGCTTTTAAATACATTATGTAAATTTTTTGGCATGGGATTTAGCCTTCTGTTATGTTTCAGCAACTATTAAAGTTGCCTTTCTGACCATAAATTGGTTGACCTTTAAGAAAGTAGTCTAAAAATGTTCTGGGTGTTGTGAGAAAACCATCTAGGACTAAGATGGGTTTCATGGTATCATTTGGTTGGTTATTCACACAGGAAGCCAGAGCCAAGCCTTTTCATTCTTTCTTCCTTGCCATCACCTGTGGTCATGTGACCACGATTATGTTCTAGGCACTGTGAACCAATTTGGGTAATGCGGCTGCTTCCTTTTCAGTGCCTGGCCTGTCTTGTATCCTATATAGAAACTATTGTTGACAGTCCATATGAAATAATTTATTTTTAGTGTTTTCTTGTCACCCTTCTTCTGATTGGATAGCATTCATGATTCTTCATCATCTTTCTTACAGTCTCCATGTGTCTCTTTATTGATCATTACTTCTGCCTGAGGCAGCTATTATGGAGATCCTCAGTTTTTCTAAATTCTTTCATGATGGCTCAATTGAAATATCCTGGAAAAATGAACATAAGATTTCCCATCACACCTTAAAGAGGATGGAGTGGTAGTGAGCTGGGTCATGAGTACATAGATAGCTAAGCATAAGATACTGCTGACCAGTCAGAGAAAACCTAAAAAAGTAAGCATTGAAAGAAAGAGAGCAGATTCTTAATAGTGAGAACACTGTGGACCCTTTATCTGCTGTTAAATTGAGCATGACTTTCAAGCCATGCCTCCTAATTAATTTAATTCAGCATTCTGGCATCAATAAGTAATTGAATTATAAAAGAATTTAGTGTAACAACTTAGGACATTTTGTTGCTGAAAGGTTCATTGGAGAATAGAACAATTGAGTGATTGAAATAAGGATGTTTGATGTCCACAACTGGGAATTAAGGGTAAGGTAAGGCCTTCTTTAATAGACCACAGTAAACACAAGTGGGCTGCTGGCTGTCGTTCTCACGGTCACCGTCAGCCTGGGTTGGACGATATAAGATTGATACCAGAACATTAACACCATCAGTTCCATTCTGGCCTCCCCACAAATAATGCTGCTGCTTTTGCCACTGGAATCAGGAGAACATTGTGGGGACACTGTGGGTGGGATTGTACTTCTGGTATGAGATTGCCCAGGAAGGGTTAGGCTCCCAACCCAGGGGTCAACTATTAAAACCATCAGATTGAAGAGGCTAACTAATTGAGATCAGTTAAGTTGGGCTAATTTATGCTGGGAATTTCAGGGGATTTAAGCACATGGCCTCTTTACAGTGGTTACCTAAGCCTATAGTAAGAGGCGTCAGGTATAACTGTCTCTTACAGGGACAAATGATGTAAACCCCCACACTGCTGTCTACTGGGGAGGGCTCTGGGTAGACCAAATCAGAAGTATTCTACCCCTCCTTGTATAGTGCAGTCAGGCCAGGTGCCAAGTTTAATGGGGTCACCTTCCATGTACCTCATACTTCAAATGAATCTTACCTGATGAGGGGTACTCTTAGCTTTTTCATAGAGAAGTTAACATATGTTCAGGCTGGTTAAGTAACCACCAGGCACCAGAGTATATGGACCCTTAATAGAGATGGGGCTGCTGCATGAGGAAAAGAATTCTTAGCAAGGATAACACTTATGAAAGAGCAATAATGAGCACCCATAGAAAGGAGATGGGTGTCACCCAACTTATGTTCAGAGTAATTCCGTAGGGGAGTATGTGGGCATGCGTCTATGTGCACACTTAGCAGGTAAAATGGATACTGTTATAAATCCTCATTTTCCTGATAGTTGAGGGTCACAGATTATATTGCTATAGTCAGTGCTCATTATATGTGGAGGTGTAGTTCTGGAAATTATCTTGTGGATCAGAAGCTTGTAAAATGGGAGGTATATAAGACTCAGTATCATATAATATGTTGCACAGTAGCTTCAGCGTGAATTTTTGTCTTCTGCTAACACTCATGTTCGGATTGGATTGGGCCCTCTTGCAAAATGAATCATGACTGTCACCCACTGACCCCTCTACATCTGCTCAGCTCTGTTTCCTGCTGATTGTCAGTACTGTGCTCACCTCTGCAAAATCAATTCAGCCTTGAACTTGACTTCTAAAGGATGGGATTGCCACTTTTAGCTTCACTTATTTTTAGTTTTCCTTTGCTTTTTTTCTGTAACCACATTTTTAAACACATAGAAAAATCCAGCCATAGCATAAAAACAAGCACGAGTGGATGCATACTTGTGGCGAGCTGCCTGGGAGGAAGAGGAAAGAAAGCCCCGTGCAATGAAGTGCAACAGGGGACTAGGGCCTGCTTCTTGGTTTTATGAACGATGGCTTGCTTTGAGGATATCTAAAAATTGAAGAAAAAAGGAAGCAAATAAAAGGAAAGTCAGTTGTATGTGGTTTCTTAATGGGCTCCAAATGAATCTTGAAGAATGCATTCTATTAAATTGTTTACATTTTCCAATGTCTTCTGTTATTGGACAGTATTAAGTTCCTATCGTGTAGCTGTGAAAAATGGAAATTCTTAAAAATAACACTGCTGTGGAATTTGGGGTTCAGTTCAGTTTCTCTAGTTTGATTTTCTGTTGTTTGGAGTGTGGTTAGGTGTACAGTTTCATGTAAGGAAGAACAAGGTCTGAAACCTATTTTGGTTAGTGTTCTATTTATGAAATTGATACACTTATAAGGCAGAGTGACTTATTTAAAAAAAAAACAAACTGGGGAATTTATATGTGAATTTCAACCAGAGGCAGGGCCTACATCTTTTGGTAGGTTCTTTAGATTAAAATAGTCTTGAAACTTACGAAAATTTCAGTTTTCTAGGGCAAGTGTAAGTTTTCTAGGGCATAGGTGTTTATTGACAATGATGAGTTTGTAAGTTAATGTGTTTTTTGAGCTCAGGGAGGGGCAAAGATTAGTGTTAGAGCACGATTATTTTTTCTGTTAATCACTGTTTCTAAGCTGTTAATAGTCTTAAAGCAGATAGAGGCAACTTTGTTTTTTGTGTGTCTCTTTTCCTTTAATGAAAAAATCAGATTGACAGTACATGTGGTTATATGAAAAATGCTGACATGAGAGAGAGCCAGTTTAATTGCATGTACAAACTAAAGCAGATATGAAATGGAAAGGTAATGCACATACTTCTAGAGTTTAGGGAGAAAATGAGTTTTTAAAAGAAGATAATTTTATTACCACATTAAATATCAGCAGAGTGGGGTCATTATTGGGCTTTTCATTTTCCTATAGAGATAACAGCATTTTGTGTAATTTTAGTTTGCAGCCCCAGTATGTGTGTATATGTTGGGGTGGGTGGGGGGAATGGGCAGAGTCACTGTCTCTGAGAAGACCAATTAGGAAGAATGTTAATCCTTTCCAGTTCTTGAAAGAATCAAAGCAATTTTTCTTCTAAACATATAACTAATAATTTTATAGTTTTCTAAGGCAAAAGTAAGGATTTCTCCCATTGCTTTTTTTTTTTTTTTTTTTTTTTTTTGAGAAAGAGAGAGATGAGGGGGAGAGAGGGAGAGAGAAAATCCCAAATCCCAAGCAGGCTCCACACCCAGCATGGAGCTCTGTTCCACCACCCCGAGATTATGACCTGATAAGAAATCAAGAGCTGAATGCCCAACCAACTGAGCCACCCAGGTTCCCCTCTCCCTGTTTTCTATTTGCTGCTTAGGACCAGAAAATCCCTAAGAGAGGAAAAATGAAAACTGGTAAGGATTTGAAAGGCCAGCTCAATAGCATTTTCCTACTTTCTCCCTGAACTGCCTGTTTCTGTCAGTTGGTTACCTGCACTGGGGAGGAACAGGTGGGTATATATACTTACATGGCAGGGATTGACACACTGTGGGTTTCAGGGGTTTGATCAGAAAGGGATTCTTGCTTGAAGGGAAAAGCTTGCTTTGTGACACAGGTACTGTATTAGTTACCTGTGGCTACTGTAACAAATTTCCAAAAATGTGGTGCCTTAAAATAACACCCATTTTTTTCTCTTGTCATCCTGGAAGTCAGGAGTCTGAAATCAGCTTCAGCAGACTAAAAGCAAGTGGTCAGCAGGGTTGTGTTCCCTCTGGGGGCTGGAGGGCGAGAATCCACTTCTTTGCTTTGTCCAGCTGCTAGAGCTCATTTCTTGCACCCCTTTGCTCATGGTCCTTCTTTGTCTTCAAAGTTGGTAGCATGGCATCTGACTGCATTGATTACATTGCCTTGGACACTTGTGATTACATTTTCCTTGTGATTACATTTGTGATTACATTTAGGTCCCATCTCAGGATCCTTAACACAATCACATCTGCAAAGGCCCTTTGCCATGTTCTGGCAATGAACCATTATTTAGCCTATCACAGGTAGCAAGGACTTCTGCACCTGTGAGCCCCATGGTTACAAGCTAGCGCTCAGAGCTATTTATCTGTAAAATTTAAAAGCTTCTTATAGCTTAATAATTATTTCTTGGCTATTGTCTAAAAAGAAAATTTTAGATAGTCCAGTGGTGAAGAAAATAGTTCATTTGGTTCAACCATAGTAATTCTGGTATGAGAGTACCACAGAATAAGTTCAAAGTACCATGGGAATCGTAAGACAGATTTTATAGGGGTGATGTTCATCTATGATGAAGGTATGAAGATCTTCAGAAGTTATGCCTTCCTTTGAGGGAGAAAGTAGGCTCCCTAAAGGATTTCTGGAGAATTTATTCCATCTAATGGTCATACGTTGTCTGTAGGTGTATTTATAGTGCCCATTTCACATAGTGAAATGTACTGATGCAACTGACATTTAGGCACCCTATTTAATAATAAAATATTAAAAAAATAAGGAACTCGGTGGAAGAAAGAAGGGTTTTGAGAAACATGATGAATTGTAGAGGAATGTACTAAGGTTTGGAAAATTTTTCTTTATCCATACCCATTTTACTTAGGTAAACACATTTTAATTGTATCATTTTTTTTAAAAAGATTTTATTTATTTATTTGACAGACAGAGATCACAAGTAGGCAGAGAGGCAGGCAGAGAGAGAGGAAGAGAAGCAGGCTCCCTGCCGAGCAGAGAGCCTGATGTGGGGCTTGATCCCAGGACTCTGGGATCATGACCTGAGCCGAACGCAGAGGCTTTAACCCACTGAGCCACCCAGGCGCCCCTAGTTGTATCATTTTAATATGGTCTTTATAATGGTTGCTGTCTGTGTTTCTGGGTAGCGTCTTTAAATAGTAGTTCTTTGCCGCTGATACCAAAGAGTCTATTTAAACAACAGCAACGAAAACCTTTCTGTAGCAGATGTGTTTGGTCCTGTGTGAATCAACGTCTGTAACAATAGCTTTTACATAAATGGAATCAGGTGGCTAGAAAGCCACATTAATGTTCTGTTTGGTTCTTTTGGGGCGGGCCGCGGGGCGTAGCCAGGTTCCAGTTGTTGAGGCTGTTGAGCAGCAATCCAAGTATGAAAATGAGAAAGGTTTGCCTGTTTCTGTCATGAAGGAGGATGGAACAAGGGCGTGTGGAGAAAGAAGCAGGGGTAGAGAGAGGCAAGTTAGCTTCAAAGATATCCGTCTGCACCCAGTTCTGTTCTACTCTGCTCTTCTGATGTGTGTGCTTCTGCCCCTTGCAGAATGAATCAGCCTGACGTTTTATCAACTTTTTGAAAAGTGGGGTGAAGCGGTGTGGAACACATCAGAGGGGTGAAGTGGAGCAAATCTGAAAGGGAGCAGTGTTTCATCTCCTAGCCTGTGTGTGCCTCCCCCTCCTCCTTGTGGAGCCAGAGAGGGCTGAATTGATGTCCGCCCCATTTTAGTTCATTCTGCTACCTTCATGTTACATTGATACTAATACATTTGAAGTCGGAAAGGAGCAGGGCCGGGCAGTTACTGTTTCATGCACAGTCATCAGTTTCTCGGGCCCTGCAACTACACTGCATTACGGTGTTTGCTTTGACTTGAATCTGCCACCCGATGACCTGCCTTGGATGCACTGTGTAACTTTTAAATTAATACACTGATTTTATGTATATGCAGCACTGTTTCTCTGCGTGTTCATGTGAGTTCATTACGAGTTTCCAGAATTAGAACTAAGTGAGGGTAGAAAAAAAATCGTGTGATGAGAAAGCCTTCTGGTAAACCTGACCAGAAATGGGGCACTAGCCAATGGAAATGCCTCAGAAGCTCTGGATGCTGGGATGCAGGAATCCATGAGTATATGTGTATGGTTGAAGGAGAGAATCTGTAAATCACGGCTCTCTTGGGATTATGTGTCTCTTTGTATAATACCTCCAGTTTTCTCATGAAACATCAGTTGACATTGGAAATGAAAAATTTAACTTCTTAGTGTGCCATTCAAATCGAATTATGTATAGCTAATCATTATTTTTTGATGCTTTCCAGGGACAGAGGGGACAGTGTTCAGAATTCTCACAAAAGCTGAAGGCCTCACGGGCGCCGACGTACCTTTAGAATTGGTGTTCCATTTGCCAGTCAATTACCCTTCGTGTTTACCTGGTATCTCAGTTCACTCCGAACACCTGACCCGGGCCCAGTCAGTGACTGTGAAGGAGAAGTTACTTAAGCAAGCAGAGAACCTTTTGTCGGAACCTATGGTCCATGAGCTGGTGCTCTGGATTCAGCAGAATCTCAGGCATGTCCTCAACCAACCAGAAACTGGAAGTGGCAGTGAAAAGTGTACTTCTGCAACTGGAATGACTGTGGATGATGGACTGTGGCTAACTCTTTTGCATTTAGATCACATGAGAGCAAAGACCAAATATGTCAAAACTATTGAGAAGTGGGCTTCCGATTTAAAGCTGACAGGAAAACTGATGTTCATGGGTAAAATAATACTGATTTTACTACAAGGAGACAGAAGCAATATCAAGGTGCCAAAAAGTTTAATGTTGAATATGAATTGGGCTATTTTCTGCTAAAATGGTGTGTCTGTGTGTTTTGTGACAACGGGACAGGTTAATCATTAAGATGTTAATGGATCTCCATTTTTTTAAAGAATGTCTCTAACTTCTAATTACAACAACAAGTTTACAAACCTTGAAGAATAAGTAGATTATATTTTTAAAAATTATTCCACATAATGAAAGGGATAGGTCATTAAAAAAATCTCTATAGTGCATGAATTTTGTTTCTTTAGTTAGCTTTGAGCCTCAACTTTATTAAATGTGTACTAAAAGTTTGTGCATATCTGTATTCCATTCCTCAGGCACAGTGTCTGCCTGTGGGTACTGTGTAACTTTTTGGCGGTTAAAAACATATTCAGACACTTTAATTTGGCTTCTGTAATACCTGGAAAGAGGAACTGATCCCTCCTAACCAGGATTTAGTGTTAGTGGAAGTAGCATCATTAGGCTGTCAGCTTGTCACCTCCTACCTAACTTTGTTTTCCACCTGACTTGTCTCAGCAGCTGCTTTCAAAATCATGATCTTCTTCAGATTCTCCAAGTTCGCACGCTCAACTCACCTAACCTATTTTATGTGGGACCAGACAAGGAAAGCTGCTTATTATATTTTAAATCTTGAAAGCACCACAAATCACTTAATAGGTTTATGCTTTCAGATGGGTTGGATCAAGAATACTTCAATTGAATTTATTCAAAACAGATTTAGTTTGCACAACCTATAATCTGAAAGATTTGTGGAATAACTACCTAGCTTTTTCAGAATGGGTGCTTATCACAATACTTATTTGGCATTTGGTTAACCAGATTAGTGCTGGGGTTATAGCATATAGATACCACAAATAATTAAAGTTGAATCAGTCTTGGTTTGAGGTCTGACCAAAGTACCAGATATTGCAAGGTGATTTATGGTATATCTATAAAACTTGACATTCTGGGTAAACTCCTGGCTGACAGAATGAATACAAATTAATTTCCTTGTTCATATTTCCCTAAAAGGCTCCGATTTTTCTTTAAGCCAGCTCAGGAATGTTAGGTTAAGTGCAGCTGTTTTGCAGATGTCACTCAGATTGGATCCATCAATTGATAAGTATTTATTTCATATGACTGGAACTTAGCTAATATAGAGGAATTGTACTTTTTATTTAAAGAGTTCTTTCTTTTTTATGAACTTTCCCTAAAATGCCACTTAATGTAAATATCTCTGTTAAAATTTTTAAGATTATATATCAGGATTGAGAATTACAGGTATGTATTTATAGATGCTATCCAATTTGGACTGGTAAGTGCTATGTGCCTGTTAATTTCTTTCAGATGCAGAAGTAGCCATAACACTACCACTAGCTGGTACTGTTAATTGTGCCAAAGCACTGTGTGCCAGGGTGTCCTCTGTGCGCTTTGCACATATTAACTCTTTTAATCATCACAGCTTCCCATAAGGTAGCTACCGTTCTGCGTACCATTTTATGGAGTAGATTCCTGAGGCACAGAGGGCTTAAGTAACCAGCCTGGAATCAGATATAGGAGGCCGTGCAGTCCAGATTTAATCCTGCATTGTTTGAAGGCCTCCTTCTACCAGCACATTCTGCTGTCTAGTATAGAAAGACAATGTAGCCCTCTTACTGCTTGATTCAGAAAGAGAGTACTCTAGGCAGGAAGATAAGCCTGCAGATGCATGGCTCCTTTAAAACTAGGACTTGGAGATTCAGAGTAAGATATGTACTTAATGTACTGATTTATCATTTAGGAGTACCTGCTTCTTCAGAAAACCTCCAAAGTAGATGTGGACTCAAGTGGAAAGAAATGCAAAGAGAAAATGATTAGTGTACTGTTTGAAACAAAAGTACAGACAGAACACAAAAGGTATAATTTAGTACTATTGCAGATGGAAAAGTAACTGAATCGATAATTATACTCTGACAAATCTAGGCATATTCATGAGTTTCTCTTGTATAATGCAGGTTTCTGGCATTTGAAGTCAAAGAATATTCATCGTTGGATGAGTTACAAAAGGAATTTGAAACTGCAGGACTTAAGAAGCTTTTCTCTGAATTTGTGCTTGGGCTGGTAAAATGAAATGGAAGACAGGAATCTTTTAGTTAGACCGCAGTGGTTTTTTGTCTTGTTTTGTCTTGTTTTGTGTTTTACAGTGGATTTTGGGAATGGTTAATTGAAATTCTCGTAAGGAAACAATTTTAAAGTTTCTCTGAAGCAAAATGATAGACACCATTCTAACTTCAGGAACAAAAGCCCATTTTGCTTATGGACTATTAAACTTTAAAAACGCCCATATATTCTAATTTTTGCCAGTAAAAGCTAGGTTTAATAGATGGAATGTTATTTGAAGGATAAATATGAAATGATGGTAAATGAGCCCTTGTGATTATATAGAGGATTTGTTTGGAACTGCAATTTTCTAGCTAATTTTCTTGTAATTAAATGAATTTTTTTAAAGATTTCTTTTCATGTTTACATTTTTAGCATTTGGTCATGATTTTCCCCAATTCAGCTTATTATATCTATGTTTTAAGTTGGATGTTATGAAAAATATAACACTGATTTCTTTGTGCAAGTGTGTAAACTGTTAGTTTAAATACAGACCAAAGAAGTTCTATAGAACTTGACTTTTGATCACTTTCTTTGGGGTCCTAGATAGCATAGTACTTATTAGTACACTAGTTAGTTATAGGACTAGGGAGTCAATTAAAATTAAAGTTAATATTATTATTTTGCAGAGGAGGGGCAGAAGAGGGAGAGAGAGAATCTTAAGCAGGCTCCATAACGTGTGGTGTGCTCTCACGACCCTAAGTTCATGACCTGAGCCGAAATCAAGAATCACATGCTTAACTGACTGAGCCACCCAGGTGCCCCTTAAAATAATTTTTGAAAAAACTTACCTTTGGGTTTTATAAGAAAAGAAATGTTTCACTTAAAATGAACTTGACTTGTTAGATGGAGGAAATAATAATAGAGATACTATTTTGTATTTCTTAGGAAATCTGTTAAAATATGATAATCTTAAAATATATAATGACCTAAGGAGAGAAGAAGCCATAAAATGAAAGCTTGTATTACAATCTGTAACAAAAGCATAAGGAGGCATTTATGTTTGAGAAAAGGTATTTGTGTTCATAAAGCCAAGTGTGCTTCCAAAATAAGGGGCCAAGTGATAGAGGAAAAGGCCATGCAAATCGCTCTCACTGCAATCTGTGAAGTATAGTGATGTCATTATAAAATCATGAAATGTTGTAGCATGCAAGGTAGTGTTTCTTTCTTTTTTTTTTTTTTTTAAGTTATTATTTTTTTGCAGGTAGTGTTTCTTGACAGTGCTGTTCTGGGACCTTGATGGTTCAATCTGATTGTCTCACTTTCAGGCACCCTTATAATTAAATTGTACTTCCTATTGATCATCTTATGGGTTTCTAATGAGAAGGGAATTTTGATTCATTTTACCTCATTCCAGGGTATTTATGATTTTTTCTTGGAGAACAGGTACATGTAGTTAGGTTGTTCTATGGGAACAGCAGATGGCAAGGAGAAGCTAGGCTACTGGTATGCTCAACTGAAAATAGGCTGGAAAATTTGGGGCTACTGCTTCATTTGATTTACTAAGTAAGGAGATTAAAGGTTATTGCCATCAAGGCTGTAACAGTAAAAGTAGTAGGGGGCTGGTCTGAATTTTATCACAACAGAACAGCTAGTCCTTTATTTTACTTTGATTCTTCTCTGTTCAAGTGTTTTCTGCACCATGCTTTGTGCCTCTCCCAACTTTCATCTTCAGATTTGACCCTCTACACCTAGAGAAGAACTTGAATCAGGCAAAATTGAATATTGGTAGTGACTTTCTCCAAATTAATTAAATTTCTATTTGCTAAAATTATGTTTAAAAAGTATTAGTTATGATTACTTTCTTGAATGTTTACATCTGAGTCTTTCACAAATATACACATCAGAATGCAAAACTAACCTCGACAGTATTAGAGACTTATATAAATTTATAAATTTATAAATCTCTGGATAAAAGAAAATTTAAAATTATATGCAAAAAATCTTTAAGAGTCTTTCTGATATTTTCTTACCTTTAGAGGAAGAGAATTGCTTCCATTGATTTTTTTTTAAAGATTTTATTTTTTATTTGACAGAGATCACAAGTAGACAGAGAGGCAGGCAGAGAGAGAGAGAGAGAGGAGAGAGGGAAGTAGGCTCCCTGCTGAGCAGAGAGCCCGATGCGGGGCTCAATCCCAGGACCTTGGGATCATGACCTGAGCCGAAGGCAGAGGCTTTAACCTGCTGAGCCACCCAGGCGCCCCCGTCCGTTGATATTTTTACCTCAAACTCTTAATGCTTTCTTTTCAGCCCGAGGTACTTATGAAAAGATAATTAGGACTCCCGGGAGACAGAAGAGGTGAGGCCAAGGGCTGGGACCCCTGAAGGACTACACTATAAGAGTAAGACTGAAGTGTAAATAAATTAATTGTCCTAGTACTATAGCTAAACTTTGAGGATTCTGTTAGGTCCAGAAAGTCTTAAACTTTGAATTTGGATTAAAGTAGTCCATGATTCTAATGCCCCCATATCCTCCAGATCTTTGGAGAAAGATAACATTATCCTAGGCATCAAATTTTATCTATTTAAAAATTTTAATATTATTTTAAATTCAATATCCAGCAAATTTTAAATTTTAAAATTCAATATCCAGCAAATAATCAGATAACTGGACTCATGAAGAGACAAGATATTATCAGCGAGAAGCAACAGAAAAAATAGACAATAGAAATAGAACCACAGGGACTCTGCATGCTGGAATTGTTAGACATAGATCATGGAACAGTTATGCTTAGTATATTCTAATAGACAAAAGCCAAACTTGGAACTGGTATTAGAAACCATAAAAGGTGACATGGTATATTTGTATTTGAAAAATAACAAAATAAAAAACAAATAGAAATTCTAGAACTGAAAAATAAAAGAATTAAAGAAATAGTTAATGAGTTAAAGCCCAGTTAGGAAATCAGAAACCAGCTTAGGTATTTCAAACAGTGAATTTAAAACAGGAATTGGTTAAAAGGCTGGAAGAGCAAAAAGGAGAAGGAATGGGACTGGATGACAGAAAAGAAAAAGAGGGGAGGGTGATGTTCTCAGAGTTCAGAAATGGCCAAGAGTGTATTTCTGCTGCTGCACTTTAAAAACTGTTGTAATTGGTCCCAGATCTGCTCACTTGGTGCTTTCTAGACCAGAGCTAAAGGTGCTGATAGGTACTATCTCTGGTCTGTTGGAATTGCCACTTGCTACCACTACAGCAAATGCCAGCAACTATCACAGTACCCTGTGCTGCTTTCAGATCTTCCAGCAGTTCCTCCAAAATCGACCAAACCAACAGGAATCCAGCTGGCAAAGAAGTCTGGGAAATGTAGTTAGAATATCCCAACCTAGAAGAACAGCAGAATAGAGGAGGATGTGTGTGTGTGTGTGTGTATCTGGGAAGTGAGGGGAGAGACCCAAGTGCCCATAGGAGGTAACCAGCACAATCTTCCTTTTAGCTATTAAGCATTCCCACATACTCCCTACCCATATTTAAATTTCTGTACAATTTTTATGCTTCCATCTATGCAGACTTAGCTATATTTTGCACAAATGAAGAGATTTTTGCCTTTTCCCTCAAAAGGGGAGAACTAAAGTCCCATCAGTTACTATTATACTCACCAGTGTTAATTCTTCTAGTTCAATCACAATTCCACAATTCCACCCGGATATTCTGTAACCTGAAGATGAAACTATAAAGTTCACCACCATCACCATCTCTTATATCTAACTTGAGGGAAGGAAGGGGAAGAACTTGAGGGAAGAGGGAAGGAAAAATAGTTAATAAGTACAAAGATGAACAAACAATGAAGCAAATTTTCATGAGTACTTTGGTACTTCTATAACTGGTCATGAACCTATAGCTGGTATTTATAACTTCTTCCTCTACTCTTTGCTCTTGGTCAGCACTTCTATTGGTCAAGGCTCTCTACCTAGTATAGTGGCCAGAACTTCATTTCGGAAGGATCTAAGTCCTCAGTAGTTGAGTTGCTTATTAACTTTGACTATAGAACAAGAAATATTAAGAGGCAACCCAGAGGATTTCCTGGGGTCCTGACATAGTTCTTATTGACCTCACTGTATATCAGTAACCCAATTTTGCTGGATCTGGATCAGTACCCCAGCCATAATGGGAATGTCTTTCTTTTTTTTTTTTTTTTAAGATTTTATTTATTTATTTGACAGAGAGAGATCATAAGTAGACAGAGAGGCAGGCAGAGACAGAGAGAGAGAGGGAAGCAGGCTCCCTGTCAAGCAGAGAGCCCCATGTGGGGCTCGATCCCAGGACCCTGAGATCATGACCTGAGCTGAAGGCAGCGGCTTAACCCACTGAGCCACCCAGGCGCCCCGGGAATGTCTTTCTTGTTGGTTTAGTATCATAAGGAGCCTAATATATTTGAGTGTCAATCTCAACTTCTAATTGATTTGAGCCATTTTGCGTGCCCTGGTAGAAACATTCTTTCCATGGAAACTAAGATTGCCAAATCAGCATAGCCCAAGTTTACAGAGGTGAGAATAAAAAATTCTGTGAGTGGATTATTAAATATAATATGGATAGAAGTCCATCCTATTGTTATTCCCTGATTTCTGGATCCTTGTATTCTGGCAGTGGGAGAAATACATCTTATACTGATCACTGAAGCAAAATACTTTTTTATCTTGTATAATAGTACCTCAGCCTTTCAGAATCTTGCCTCCCAGCTGGCCAAGTAACTGAGTCTTTTGTAGGTCACTATATTACTTTATCAAGCTGGCTACTTCTGTGTGATTTGGTACATGGAAAGACCTATGAATTTCATAGTCATGAGCCCATTGCTACATTTCTTTTGTTGTGAAATAAATTTCTCATTTAGATGTTGTATTGTGTTCTCACAATGTCTATAATATTATGGTTGGTAGTATTATAGGAAGGGACTTCTGATTCATATTCAAAATAAGGCTTTCATGTTTTTATAAAAACAAATTGCTGGACCTTCCACTAGAGAAGAGATCCAATGTGATTAACTAGCAACCAGGCAGCTGGTATCTCCCAGGAAGTGAGGCCCTACTGGTGGCTCAGCATTGATATCTGTTCAGAGCAGGTTAGGCACTTGCCAGTGATAACAGCAAGGTCAGTATTGGTGAGAGAAATTTTACGTTGCTGAGCCCATGTATAACTTCCATCCCTGCTGCCACATTTGCTTTGTAGAAGAGCCCACTGAGCAGGCACTGGGATGCTAGGGAAAGAAAGTGACTGATGTCTACAGGATGAGTCAACCTGTCCATTTGATCAATGAAGACTTTCTTCAGAGTGGTTGCCCTTTGATAAGCATCACATGGGACACAAATATCCCC